CACCTACGTAAGATTAGCGTCGTTCCCACCCGCGGCACACACGGTCACAACAATCGTGGTTTGCCGCCGAATCGCGCGTGGCGATAAGCGATAAGCACTTTCGTAATTCGCTTCAGCTTGTCGATTTGAGCACCGGATTTATGTAGACAACGACATTGTAAACCTTTATGGCTATTTTCGGTTACTGTCTATTGTCGCCATCTACGATCAAGAAAAGTGGTCATTTGAAGGCGAGCCCTCGCACGCGATAAGTCCTTTGCGAGCGCGACATCGCGCGGGACGCCGCGTAAGTCGGAGCGACGTATTCTGCCACTGCACCGCTGCTACATTTGTTTATGGGTGGGATCTCTACCCATCGCTAATGGTTAGCATTCTTGCCACATCCTTTTGAGAGGCTAAAGTATCACACTTCGAGTGCTTTCGACACATAGGATCCTACCACTCAGGTAGTCGTGGAATATATTTCTCATAAGAATTGGATAGGCTTTTAAAGATGATTTTTTGTCATGTGGGGGGGGGGGGGGCAGGCTAGCTATAGTCACCGAGTGAGGCCTTCCGTGGACGGGAATGGATACTGACAGTTGGTCCGTACAACACACCTATGGCCTAATTATTGAATCCTGTCTCAAGTCCTCTCTGGATCACGCAGGTGGAGGGGAGGGGGAGGATAGAAGCACTGATTTGTCGTCATCGGCTGTTCCTACGCCTCCCCCCTCTCCTCCCCTTCGCATGTCATCGTTATTTAGGAAGTAGCCTACGACTTTAGGTGGTGGTAGCATCCCAAAAGGGATTGCTCAACGTCGAAAAACTTTATGTGTTATCCTTCAGGTCCTCTCTTCTGTGTCTGAGACGCCTTCTGAGTGCAGCCAGCAGTATCGCCGAATATTCCGTGAGTAAACTGTTTTGTAGGCAGTGGGCTGAGGGAGGGCAGTTGTCTCCGACGTAATTGCTGGAAGGCCTGAAAGAGGTGTGCCAAACGCCCTCTCGCAGCACTTTCATCGATAGCGTCGGCGGCAAAAACCGCTCGCCCTCACCCATATTTTTAATTTAAGAGAGAATAGTGATTTTGTGAGAAAGAATCAGAATCATGATAGTCTGATGGATTTTGTGGAAAGTTCACGTGCTCTTTCTTAATCGGTGGATCCTCAGGCTGTGTTCATACAATGTAATACTAGCGATTCAATCGCGCGATTCGGAACTTTGATCAATCGCATTCCATCGTGATTGCTGCAGCTGTTATTACGAGCAAATGTACATTAACGATTCATTTTATTGTCGCAGCTGTCCAGCGACCAGCGCTTAGAGCACGGTCGCACGCGATCGCGCGGACGATCGCTTGAGTCGCGGAGTGTGAATGCAGCCTTGCTATTGCCATTTCAGTGCAATTATGAAGTAGTTCATTTTGTTCTTTTAGGATGCGGATCCGTTATCACTGCCTGTTCTACCTCAAACGGGATCATTCACACAGCTTATAGTCAAATTTGTTGTTCGTAAAGTGTTCACAATTTTGAACAAGTTTGCTGGAGAGGAAAAGTTGGTTCCGTTTTAGAAATTGTCAGTGACCAAGTACAGTGAGCCATGATTTCTTCAGGTTATGTTTGGATGCGGTGAATCTGTTGACGGGCATGATTGAAGCGTATGCCACTTCATTGGCATCAGAACCGGAACTTTTTGACTATCTTGGACAGCTCGATATCGCCGCACTGCCGAGCAGGTTCATACCTTCATTTGATTATCGTGATCATACTCTGGCCGTTATCAGGCAAGGTACAGCTGTGGAATAACGAATGAGTGTAGATGGCCCAGAGGTGAAGAAGTTTGGTCTTGTAAGGGCACCAAATGCTACTTCGCGGGGTTTGTTCATGCCATTTTGTGCAAACCTCGATCAGGAAACAAAATAGGCTCGCTTGCGGCATTTTCGCGGCTTTTCAAGAAATTATAGGCGTTGACTTGTTAGTTAACAGGTACGAGCGAAAGTGCAGAATGCCCCTCCGAGCCGAACAATGTCGGTTTATACACTTAAACGGGTGCCACCAGCGGTGTTAGTCCAGTATAAGTCAGCAGTCTTACGCAAAGATGTTAATATATCGGAGTACACCTGCCCATCGAGGATTTGTCTCTCTCGTCTCGTCCGCGCATTTTTTCCCGGTCCCTGGTCTGTTCTGTGATTTGATTGTGAGGTTATGTCTTTGACACGCGCACTCCCGATGCATGCTTTGCTCACCATGGACGGGACCAAGGGTCATATGTGCTCTGTACATCAAGCAGTTGTTGGGGATTCCCCAACGATGGTCTGCTCATGGGACGTTATGGGATGTCCGATATGTTCTAAGGCAGCGTTCAGACTTCGAGATGCCGCGCGTCGACGCGCTGCCATTGTAGCGGCGCTCCAGTGCTGCAGACGGGAACACTGCCATAGACGAGTATCGATTTGCGACGGCCGCTACTATTTAGAGCGAGTATATTATAACAGGAGGGTAGGCGCTACGTGTCTTGGGAGGGGGTAGAAGTGCAGGGAATACCAGAGTGGGTGATAGGCAACGTAGGCCTTCCTGTGCACCCATAGTTTCTTAAAGACAGCTCCCGCTATAAAAGTGTCATAGTTGCTGTTCAATTATGAAACAGTAGCTGATAAGTAATTCCTCAACGGAAGGAAAAACCAAGAACAGCCCTCAAGAACAACATAAACAAAATCACTCCCTGACAGTCACACCGCCCTGCGGTCCCTGTGCAACCCCTGGCTCACAAATCCTTTATCACATATCCCAGTAGTGGATATCATCCAGTGCAAAGAAAGAATACGAAAAACAACAAAACACGAACACATACGAAAAGAAAATTCAAAAACTTGGCGTCCGAATTTGGGGTTACGTGCAGTGTGCAGCTTTTAGTGCATGTCGAGCTTTTGCACCACAAAAATTGCATCACTCGTGATTTTTACGCGTTTTACCTTGCGAGATGGGTTGCAGTTGACTGTATGTGCTCCCAATGAATAAAATGTAATAAAGGAGAGCAGAATTATTTATGGGCACGAGCGCGGTCAGCAAAAAGTACATGCAATTCCGATTAATGCCCGCCGTCCCAACAAAGAACAACTGAGCGGCTCTCCGTCAGAGGGCATCTAGCAAGTGGGCGGTCCAACTGGGCGGGCGTTAGAACTAGAACTTTGAGCGGCTGTAGCTCGCTCCTCGCTCACTGTGGAGTCGCGAGAGTGGGACAGTATCTAGCTTGGGGGCTGGACTACTTGCACAAGGAAGGACGACCATGTACTACTTGAGCGCGGGGGCTGTCTTTAAAACACTAGTAGCCGGCGCTGTCTAGTAGTGGAGCGCTCTTGAAATAGTAGCGCATTGTAGTTCGTTGACGCGGTAATCGCGAAGTCTGGAAGCTGCCTAGTACGTGGGAAT